CAAATCATCACATTAAAAGTTTCATTACATTTGGAACATTGTTCCACCTGGCGAACAGATCTGAGGTCACCATGAGGGCACCATGCAGAGTAAAAGTTGGGTTACGGCTATATCTTACTGGAACAGGAAACACTGGACTCTGGTCATTGAAATGTACGGAGACATGGGGGGTCATACTTTATTTTTATCCAAGACTTTATCAAACCAAGACTGGGTGATTTTTAAAGTGACATATCTCTGTTCTAAGAGGAAAACTGGCAACAGGTCAGTCAGTCTCACACAACAACTGTAAACACTATTTCAATTTAATAAAAAATCTAGTATGAAAGAGGAAAGATTGAATATTTTCTTGAAGTTCAGATATAAATATCAAATTAAGTAGTAGTAACATTTGGAGAAAGCATTTTAAAATGCATATAATTGGCAGCATGGACAGCAATCACTATCAGTAATTATTACAGAAGAAAAAAAAAAAGATGAGAGAAAAGACAAACCAATTACAGGTGCAGTGACTCACCATAAAAATGACGGGAGGGTGACCGATGAGGGCTATAGCAGTCGACAGCTTCCTCTTGTTGCCACCGCTCAACGTCCCGGAAAGTTTGTCGGCAAATTTGGACAGGCCTAGCTTGGTGAGAGCCCACTCCACAACCTACAAAGTTGGAGGGGGGGGGGGGATGGATGGCGGGGGGAATCAAGTGTTGGCCTAACAAGGTACTTTTTGGGGTTGGGGGGGGGGGGGGGGAAACAATTGCACAGGTTTTCCACCTTTTTCAATACTGATGCCCATCTCTGATGAGACTGAGTAAAGTAGGCAGAAAGCCTAGTTTAGCTTTAGTAAGTTTTACGGTGCTTGAAACACAATTAAGTCATATGAATGTCAAAGATTAGAGGTGTTACAAGGGAGTACCAAACACAAAAAAAGAAGGAGGCAAGATAAGGATAATACATGTAGATGTTTGATAGGAAAGAAGGAGCAAACCACACCAGAGCACCCACAGATCAGCCACAGAGAGCCTAGAGGACCTCCAAAACAACCCAATGTTCAAGAACACCCTACTGCAGACTTGAACCAGTTTAGTATTTTAAAGTTTTTTTTATGGCACTTGTAACACAGATAGGTCATATGAGTGCTGAAAATTAGAGGTATTATTAGAGAGTAACTACACAGAAAAGAAAGAGGAGAGATAAGGATGATGGATGCTTCATAGGAAAAAAGGAAGATTTGAAGCTGGATTTTCTACACGATACCCACCGAGTTAACGGTGCATCCAAACCCGGGGGAAAGACATTACATACAACACAGTCACCCACAAAGGACGTCACACTGGTCAGCAGCAACTAGACATTACAAAGGTCAGCATCGACTAGAAAAATGCAGCAGACAGAACTGCCTGGTCATTGTGATAATCAGAACTGCCTGATCATTGTGATAATCAGAACTGACTGGTCATTGTTGTGATTATCAAAACTGACTGGTCATTGTGATAATCAGAACTGAGTGGTCATTGTTGTGATAATCAGAACTGACTGATCATTGTGCTAATCAACACTGAGTGGTCATTGTGATAATCAGAACTGACTGGTCATTGTGATAATCAGAACTGACTGGTCATTGTGATAATCAGAACTGACTGGTCATTGTGATAATCAACACTGACTGGTCATTGTGATAATCAAAACTGACTGGTCATTGTGATAATCAGAACTGAGTGGTCATTGTGATAATCAGAACTGACTGGTCATTGTGATAATCAGCATTAACTGGACATTACATCAGTCAGTATTGACTGGACATTACAGGGGTCAGTACCGACAGGACATAACAGGGGTCAGCACTGACTAGACATCTGAGCGGTCAAAGACTGACCTGATTCTCATCGCTGGGCGGGATGCCGCGGAGCCTGCAGTAGAGCTGTAGGTGTTCCCGGGGCGTCAGCTCGTCGTAGAGAGAGTCAAACTGGGGGCAGTAGCCCACGCTCTGTTGGACCTTTTTGATGTCTCGCACAACACTGGTGG